CTTTTCCATTCCTTTTCTGAGACAAGAGAATGGGCTTGGGAGAAAAGTTAATTACCGTCTCACATTTGAGGAAATACAAAACAATATCCAAACCGTGCGAACTCCCATACAACTTCCTTTTTCTCTATTTGGACTGAAAAGCAAAACCACTTCTCCATAATGTACATACATAGCAAGGTCTACACAGCAAAGAGCCTAGCAGGGCATCCTCCAGCAGTGGTTTGCATACGTTCATGTGGGTGCCCAGTCCTCCCCAGACCCTCCCCCGCTCTATTTTTCTTGAAAACATGTGTGCACCTTCCATGCCTGCTATGCTTTTTTTTTTTTTTTTTTTTTTTTTTTTTGAGACAGAGTCTCACTGTGTTGCCCAGGCTGGAGTGCAGTGGTGCGATCTCGGCTCACTGCAAGCTCCTCCTCTTGGGCTCAGGCCATTCTCCTGCTTCAGTCTATCAAGTAGTTGGGACTACAGGCGCCCACCACCATGCCCGGCTAATTTTTTTGTATTTTTAGTAGAGACAGGATTTCACCGTGTTAGCCAGGATAGTATTGATCTCCTGACCTCGTGATCTGCCCACCTCGGCCTCCCAAAGTGCTGGGATTACAGGCGTGAGCCACTGCCCCTGGCCTGCTGTGTATTTTTTTAATTGTCTATCTCCTCCACTAGAATGGAAGCATCACAAGCACAGGGATTTTGTCTGTCTTGCTCACCACTGAATCCCAACAGTGCCTGAAAGACAGTTGGTGTCTTTGTTAGGGTTATACTGAAATTAGACAGACTTGAGCACATGTCATTTATTTGGGAGAGGAGGAAGAAATGAGAAGAATAAGATGAAGAAGGAGGAAAAACCAACTAAAGAGATGTTACCGACTGGGCTCAGTGGCTCATGCTTGTAATCCCAACACTTTGGGAGACTGAGGAGGGAGGATCACTTGAGCCTAGGAATTTGAGGTCAGCCTGGGCAACATGGTGAGAACCTGTCTCTACAAAAAATTAAAATATTAGCAGAGTATGGTGGTGTGCACCTGTGTTCCCAGCTACTCAGGAGGCTGAGGTGGGAAGATTGTTTAAGCCAGGAGGCTGGGTTTGTGCCACTGCACTCCAGCCTCGGTGACAAAGTAAAACCCTGTCTAAGGATGGGGGGGGGGGGGGGGAGAGAGAGAGAGAGAGAAGTGTTATCAAGTTCACCACTACAGGCAAAGGACCGTTGAGAAGTTTTTAGATGCTTCCAGAAGGGTTCATACAGAGAGACTGGCGTTCCCATTCCCCACGGGCTGAAGATTGTCTTTTGGGGAGATAACACCCATACTTACAGGCTGAACCTCTGCAGGGGCTGAACTTTGAAGGAGATAAGCAGAGAAGGGTGCTTTGAAAGCTTGAAGTGGGAATGCTGTCTGCTGAAAACTGCCCAGCCTGGCTAGGCTGCAGCTGGTGCCAGAGGGAGAATGTGGAACCGTGGTGAGGAGCACCAAAGGCATCTGCCTCAGGAGACATCAAGCCCATTTTTTTTAAGTGAACAAATGGATTATTTTTAATGCGGATATGCATCTGGATTACAGGAATAGTGTGGGCTCCAGGCCTGACTTGCTTGGGAACGATAGAATAATTAGTACCCGTTGACCCTGTAAGAAGGAAAAATCATGACCATGGCCAAGGAGTTCAGATCCCTTATGTCTTTTTATTTTCCTAGCAGCTCTTCTATCACACATTCCTGCTCAGAATTTCCACTCCTGAGAGGCAAGCGGCTACGACTGCTTTATTTTACAATAAAGAGGCAAGCAGCTCTCTTTATCATAAATGAGAAAGGCCCACTGCACAAGCCCTTCTTCAGCTTCTGATGGTCCTTGTCACCTCTGGCTCTGCACTGGCATTTCCATGCTGGCCTCTTGGCCCACTTGTCTGGTTCTGTACCAGCTCCTTTTCCTCCACCCACTCCTTCACGCTGTCACTCCTCAGGGGTCTGTCTAGAGGCACCCTGCCACCTATTGCTAGCTGCCTTCATCAATTCTCCCTATAACTCCCAGGCCGGCAGCCACCACTCATGTGCGAGACTCTGGGTTCACCCCTCCAGTGTCTCTCTGCTCAGGAAAAGGCTCCCAAACTCCTCCTGGACTGTCAATGCACAAACAATCAACCAATCCCATACTGGATTCATGTCCCCACGGCCACACTCCAAGCCTGCTTTTCCTTCTGAATTCCCTGTCTTGGGTAATACTCCACCACCCACCCTTGTCTCCCAGCCTGGAAACTCAAGGACAGCCTCAGTCACCAAGTCTGGTTCCCTCTACCAGTTTCCTGAGCAGCAAGAGGTTGGTCCCTGGGAGGCTGGAATCTTTCTTATTTTCTCTACTTTTGTTTTCTGAATGTTCTCTGGTGAACACTTATGACTTGCACAATGTTTATTATGTTTCCTAATAATTAATAGGTTTCATAATGGCTTATTATCTTAAACATGAATCTACCTTGATTGTTCCTGCTTGCGCATCCCCGAGGCCCTCCTAACCAGCCTTCCCCTTCCAGTCCATCTGCCTTTTGGGCGGTTTCCGTATCACCACCTAGCTCACCTCACCAAAACATTTCTCCAAGATTTCCTCCTACCATCTCCACTCCATAGTCCCCAAACATCAGAATCGTTGGGAGGTGTTTGTCCACTTGTTTGCTTCTGCTCCCCTATTGTATTGTCAGCTCTTGTTCATACTGAATCCCTGGGGCCCAACACAAAGTAAGTGTTGAATAAACATGAATTACATGGACCAAGGGCCGGGAGTTGAGTAACTGTATAAGGTAGGGAATTTCTATAAAAATGGTCTCAAAGTGTGCTTGGTGGACCAGCATTTTCAGTATGGCCAGGGAACTTGTTGGAAATGTGGATTCTTGGTGGGGTGCAGTGGCTCACACCTGTAATCCCAGCATTTTGGGAGGCTGAGGTGGGTGGATCACCTGAGGTCAGAAGTTCGAGACCAACCTGGCCACTGTGGAGGCTGAGGCAGGAGAATCTTTTGAACCCAGGAGGCAGAGGTTGTAGTGAGCCGAGATGACGCCACTGTACTCCAGCCTGGGTGACAGAATGAGACGCTGTCTGAACGAAGGAAGGAAAAGAAAGAAAGAAAGAAAGAAAGAAAGAAAGAAAGAAAGAAAGAAAGAAAGAAAGAAAGAAAGAAAGAAAGAAAGAAAGAAGGGAGGGAGGGAGGGAGGGAGGAAGGAAGGAAAGAAAAAGAAAGAAAGAAAGAGAAAGAAAGAAAGAGGAAAAGAGGGAAAGAGGGATAGAGGAAAAGAAGGAAAGAGAGAGAGGAAGGGAGGGAAGGAGGGAGGGAGGGAGGAAAGAAAGAAGGAAGGAAGGAAGGAAGGAAGGAAGGAAGGAAGGAAAGAAAGAAGGAATGAATTCAGATTATTGGGCCCTTCCTCAAGCCCGCTGAATTAGAAGTTCTGGGGATATTTTGATAACAAGTTTATGTTTTCAGATATGTCTTGCCACAGTCACAAATAAGACTAGTTTTCCCAACTGAACTACGCAAACCTTAGCAGGCTCGTGGGGAAACCACTGGAAATCATTTAATCAGCTCTTTCAAACATATTCCCCATAAGTTGCAGAAACGCAGCTGCCTCTCAGGATTAGAAAGTGGAGCAGCAACCTGAGGCGTCTCCGGGCCGTCCCCCCCCCCACCTTCCCTACCCCCGCCTCACCCACTCGACCCCCACACTGTCGTCGCCACAGTCCCTTCATTCCAGAGGGAATTCCAGAGCGGAATACGGATTGCGATTTTAAAATAAGCGCTTCTAAATCTTTCTCCTTCCCTCTAAGACGAATGAGGGAAAGAAAGGGAGAGGAGTTGAGGTCCCAAGGTTCAGGGATGCCTGGTGATCTCCAGGTCCCAGGCTGGGCTGCCTCGGTGCACGGAGAGGGCGAGGGGCGCATTGTGGAGCCTTGGCAAGCGCTGCTCTTCCTCGATCCTCGGTTTGCGGTCTGTGAAATGGGGTTCGCAGTGCCTTTGCGGGGACGCCGCGAACTCAAGCACCAGCAAGCCGATGCGAACTCAAAGGGCTTCAGGGTGTAGACGACCACCGCGCACTGAGGGACTACGGGTCGGCCCGCTCCGGAGCCAGGAGAGTAACCGCGCGCAGGGAAAGGCGCACTGCAGCCTTGGTGCCTCCCTTCCCTCCACCGGACGGGTGAGTGACGACGAGCGAGGTTCTCATCTCCAGGCTGCGCAGTTGAGTTCTGGCAGGTACGGTGCTAGGGGTGTGAGTGTGTGGGCCCTCAGGAAGGGTGGGAGGGGCGAATGCCGTGGTCTACCCGAGCTTGCAGGGGTGCGGTGGGCAAGTTCCCCAGGACCCTCGCTGGCGCCGCTTGTCGGCAGCTGGGAACAGTGGGCGCCGCGGGTGGCGGTAAGTTGGCCAGGGAAGGAAACACATCGCTTTCCCAAACCGGATTCCTCTGAGCAAAGCCAGATGGTGTCATCCCCATTTTACAGCTGCGTAAAGAGAGGCCCAGAACACCAACAGCCAGCTGTGGCCGGAGCCCTTTCACTGACCCGGAACACTAGCTCTCAGAAACCTGGAGAACCGCGAGGGCTTTTAATGCGGCTGAGAAGAAAGTAAAGACCCCGACTCCTCTCTCCTTCGAAAGAGCCCACACAAGTATGAAGACCAGCGCCTCGGACGCTCCGGGGTAGGGGGGCCCACGCCCCATCCCTCTCAGAATCGCGCCTTACTGACGCTCAGTCCCGCCCAGTGTCCACCCCTCACCCCACCCCAGTTTCCTTTCTGGACCCTCCGGTCCCCAAAGCGAACTAAGCTAGCGGCAGCTTCTCCATCCCGGGGAAGACTCCAAACTCCTGGGTTTCCCACCTTGGAGAGCACTGCTCTGGAATGCGCAGGGGAGCGGCAGCTGGAAAGGGTTGGAAGGAAGCTTCTCGGACCCAGAGGGACGCGGACACCCGGCCCAGCCTGGGAGGGGTTAAATCCGCCCCACTGGACCACCTCCCCCTTTCCCCCAGGAGCCACTTCAACCGGTTGTCGTCCCAGTGGCCACCCTCTGAGCACGTGTTGCTGCCAGTCTGCGTCAGCGCTGGGTAAATACATGACTGGGCGACGCCGCCGGGCGGGGCTATTTAAGAGGCAGCCGCCCTCTGGTCCTCCCTGAACTTGGCTCAGCTGCCGGGCTGCTCCGGTTGGAAACGCCAAGCCAGCTGCGTTCTAATCCAAAAGGTAGGTCCCTCGGTTCGTCAGCGGGGGATCCAAGTGTCGTGTGTCTTTGAAGAATGCTGTCGTCTGCTTTGTGCCCATTTCCATTTTGCTTTTCTGTTTTCTGTGTCTTTCCTCCGAGAGCTCGAAAGACATTTCTTGAAGTCAGAAACAACGGCTCCGGGTCTAAAAGTGAGGTCTGGGTAGGTAGAGCTGCTTTAGAGCCTTTCACACGCCGGCATCATTAAGGGATAACTACCCATTTGCTAAGATTCGCTTGCAGATTGAGATTTGCTAGCTGTTACACAGCGGTGCTGGGGACTTTGCAATCTTTTCTAATAAAATACCAGAGGGTTTTAAGATTCAAATTCATTTTCTAGATACTGCAGAAAATTTCGAGGCTTTACGGATAGAAATGTGAGGGTGTTTTATCCACTAGCGATCTAAAATGCACAGGGCTTTGGAAGCCTGAGTGCTGGGCACATATTTCTGATTTTAAAACCTGCCTATGTTTTGCGTAGTGGCTTATTGCCATTTCCCACCTACACTTTGAGAAGACTTTATAAATACAGCTTTATTTATTGCTCCTACATTTTAAACTGTGCTTCTCTTTTGCGTCATTTACTGTATTTCCATATTGAAAGCTTGTTAGCTATCTGGAAAGGTGCTTTCCCCAGGGTTCTCATTTCTCCCACGGAGTCTTCCCTTTAGGGATATTTTTTTCACACTATTTTTAATCTCGTGGGGTTTTATTTTTCTTCTTTCAGTTAGAAGAGAGGCACTCTGCAAACACTTCCTCAAACTTTAGGAAAGCAGAAAACATTCCTTCTGCTCAACACGGCAGAAAACAGGGTCTCTGTCTGCCCCTCGGGACTGGGTGTGGAGTTCCCAAAGACCAGCCATGTGCGCCCGGGGGCGCGCGCCATGGCACTCGGCTTGAGCCCTCGTGCTTGTGGCGGCCTGGGGAGTCTGGAGCACCTGTGTTTGTCCTAAGCCGGTTTCTGGGTGCCCTGCCCGCCGCAGGAGCTCTCGGATGCCCAGCCTTTCCGTTAACGCCCCCTCCTCCTTTGCTCCCTACAGCCATGAACAGCGGCGTGCGCCTGTGCGTACTGATGGCGGTACTGGCGGCTGGCGCCCTGGCGCAGCCGGTGCCTCCCGCAGAGCCCGCGGGCTCCGGGCTGCAGCGGCCAGAGGCGCCCCGTAGGCAGCTGAGGGCAGTGCAGAGAACGGACGGGGAGTCCCGAGCGCACCTGGGCGCGCTGCTGGCGAGATACATCCAGCAGGCCAGGAAAGGTGAGAATGCTGCCTCCCAATCCCTCACTTCTGCCCTTGTTCCCAGGCTCTGGATGCTGACCCTCTTTAGCGCCGGCCTGATGAAGATGACCTCTCTCGGTAGGAAACAAGCAACATGGTTTCTGGCCGTCCTTTGTAGCAATCTGAGAAGGGGTATGGAGGACTTAATTTATAAGTAAGGGGAACCTTCTTGAAAAGCTTTCTTTGAACTAATTTTTAGCAGTGTTGCTGATTAAGTTCAACACCATTTTACCAAGCCATTAAAAGATAATTATTGAACCCTAGGAAAGGGTTCCTAGATACACTAAATACCCTCTACTAAAAACGCAAAGAACCTGGGAGTCACCCAGATACCAACCCTTGGAAATCCTCTAGCAGGAAGGCGTCAATGCTGAGAATGCCTGAGATCTGGCTACAACAGTTTAAAAAAGCAGTGACAATGTGTCCATCTCCACCAAACCATGTAACAGAAGGAAAGAATCAGCAGCAGTTTTGTGTTCTCCTTGCAATGACTTACACATGATTACCCAACAAGAGAGGTATTTGTTTTTACTTTACTGTCGCAGAGATGGTCACAGTTATAGCAAGAGCTGAGCAAGTCATTTTTCTCAGCATCAAAGTCTTTCTCCAGGAATAAGGTGATTCAGCCCCTCACTAGCTGAGTGGCATGCAGGCAGTCCTGACCTTAGGCTAGCTTTCCCCTAAACTCCTTCCAATTCTTTGTGTGATTCAGAGGGAGGCCCGTTCATCTCTTGTGACCCATAGGAATCATGCTTTGGATTGCGGCAGCTTTTTTCTGCCAACTTTATCCCCAGTGGCACTAATAATGAACACTGGCTGTGGAGGAGTGTGCTGAACAGTACAAACACAGCTGGACATTAAAATAATTCAGCAGGCCAGGAGCAGTGGCTCACGCTTGTAATCCCAGCACTTTGGGAGGCCGAGGCAGGTGGATCACATGAGGTCAGGAGTTTGAGACCAGCCTGATCAACATGATGAAACCCCATCTCTACTAAAAATACAAAATTAGCTGGTTATGATGGCACATGTTTGCAATCCTAGCTACATGGGAGGCTGAGGCGGGAGAGTAACTTGAACCTGGGAGGTGGAGGTTGCAGTGAGCCGAGATTGCACCATTGCACTCTTACCCAACAGGTGTTCCAGGGCCTAGATTTGAACCTTAACCCCTGGCTTGACCAGAAAGGGATAAGATGAAGAGCTTTGGCTCTGCAGAGTTCTCCTGTGGGCTCACATGAAGGGAAGACTGGAACTCTTTGACCCAGAGGCTTCAGAAGGAAAGAACAAATCAGTGATTTGTTGTATTTCTTCCTGTCTTTGAGAAATTGCCCCACCCACCACCTTCTGTTTTGCTTTCCTACTAATTAAATTGAAGAAGATAGAAATACTTATCAGATGGAGAGAGAAAGTCTGAAAGCTTTTGAGTTCCTGCTGATTTTCTGCCTGAAAATAATTTAGTGTCTGTCCCCAGATACAGGCTGATTTTCAGCCAGACAAGTCTGAAATATCCTAGGCTTTTCATTGATCTATGGATCTGGAACTCCCCTCCCCCAATTTGGGAAAGACCCTGTTTTTCTTCTATGTAGGCTGAGGATATCTGCAAAAAGGCCTGAAATGTGCTGAATTGACTCTTGGTTCCAAAATTGCTCTAGGAAAAAAAACACAACAACTCATTACCACATTATTTCCTAGAACCAATACTAGACAATGGCTCTTAAAGCATAAATCTTAGCTGGAAAGTTCTTTCTAGTCCTTCTTCTCAGCCCCCCTCTCCCTTTGCCTTCAGCCAATTGTGCCAAACAAACCCAGGAGAAAATAGCAATCACTTGGAAATTTAGATGCCAACACCTAGGATCAACGCTAGCTAAAAAACAACCAAACTCTTCTATGTGACAAACATGAACTAGGAATAAATACTTACACTATAGAAACTGCACAGTTTCTTTGAATATTTTACATATTTTGAAATCATATCAGATTTTTGCTCCACTATAGTATATATTATGCTTAAATGTTCTAAACAAGACAATGCATTCTTTGAGCAGTGCTTAAGAGTTTATCATTAGGAAATATCTGCAGCACTTTCAATGGCCCAAGAATAAACAATTCTATTGGAGGGCAGTGGGTAAAGATACCTAGAGGCATTTAGTGTACACCTCCCCCATGCCCAGCAAAGCTTCAATGCTACATCTATATTGTCTCTCTCAGTACAACAGCCCTGCACACTAAGTATTATTATACCCATTTTGCCAGCGTGGAAGCTGGGGCTTTAGAAGCCTGAGTAACCTACATGTTGTTCCGTATTTACGCAACAGTAGGGCTGAGACTCTATCTAGTCCTGCTCCTCCCAGGAGGGCCTGGAAGCCATTCAGCTTCCTAGCTGTACTGCCTAATCCACATTTTAAAGTTTAGAAGAGCTAAACCCTTCAGTTGTAGCAAGAGCTCAGAATGTCACTGTTTTCTCAGCACCAAAGCCTTTCTCCACGAATAAGGTGATTCAGCAGCTCACTAGCTGAGTAACATGCAGACAATCCTGTCCTGAGGCTCGCTTTCCCCTGAGCCCCTTCAAATTCTTTGTGTGATTCAGAGGGAGGCCCGTCCATCTCTTGTGGCCCGTAGGAATCAGGCTTTGATCAATTCCATACATCAGATGTAAGCCTCTACTCTATGTCAGCACTGGGAGAGTGAGTGAGGACCCTGGTAAATACACATGACATGAGGACAGAACTGTACATGGAACAGGGAAGTCAGGGTGTGTGATAAATGCAGCTTCCACGACTGAACATGGTGCCCCCACCGTTAACTGAGGCTGCTTGCTCGTATTGAAGCTGTCACTTCACTTCCATTAGATGGAAATTTGGGTGTGTGTGCTCAGGCCTTAGTGGGCACTCATCATCACAGCAGGCAGGAGGATGGGTCATGTTTCCACATGACTATGTACAGGTAACTGGGTCTATAGGTTTTCCTGAATTCAAGGACTAATATTTCACCTGAACAGTGAACAATTAAATAGCAGGGGCTATTTTTCTTCTACGTAGACTGAGAATATCTGCAAAAAGGCTTGAAATGTGCTGAATTGACTCTTGGTTCCAAAACAGGGAAGGGTTGCGGTTGGGGAGAGAAAGGGTGGGGACGTTGTTCTGTGTTGTTTCTGTTTTTAATTAAACTTGCTTAATTTTATTACCTTTGCATTTTCAGTTATCAATAAATAAGCCATAGTCTGACTCTACTCAGCCTATGGGCAGGAGCTGGCAAGGGCAGCCTCATGCAGAAGGGATATAGACTAGCCTCACAGGAGGTGGGGACACAGTGGCCCCCAACACAGTGGGAACCATTGAGTGGTCCTCCACTCCTCTACCCTTGAATTGGTCTGGGCTTTGTTCACTGAGGTCCCTGAAGAGCCTTTCTTAAGACTGAGTTTGCACAGGAGAAGATGTCCTACTGATTTCGTACTCCAGGAGGCTACTGTCTATGAACTTTGAGCTAGGACTATGTCTCATGCCTCCAAATAAACTGCCTCTTGATGTCCCTGCTGACTCAGTGTGAGCTCTACAAAAGGATCACACTGTTCCTGAAGACTTAACTTCCATCCCAATGGGACCATTTCAGGTTCAGTTACTGCATTTTGGTCAAAATGGCTGATTTAAATCATCTTTGTTATCACCTCTCTCCCACCCTTCTTTGAGTATTACTGAGGTGCCAAGATTTTAATCTGACAGTCTTTTTCTGAATATCATTTTTAATTGATATTGATTTATCATTGAAAATAAAATGATCATCAATTCTAAACACTTACTGATAAATGAAAAAAACTTTCTGAATGTAACTTTCAAATTCATATTTTTAAAAGAGTATTTACATAGCAAAGGGGCTTTATTTATTTTTTTCTTTATTATACTTTAAGTTCTGGGATACATGTGCAGAACATGCAGGTTTGTTACATAAGTATACCTGTGCCATGGTGGTTTGCTGCACCCATCAACCCGTCATCTACATTAGGTATTTCTCCTAATGCTATCCCTCCCCTAACCCCCCGCCCCCCAATAGGCCCTGGTGTGTGATGTTCCCCTCCCTGCGTCCATGTATTCTCATTGTTCAACTTCCACTTATGAGTGAGAACATGTGGTGTTTGGTTTTCTGTTCCTGTGTTAGTTTGCTGAGAATGATAGTTTCCAACTTTATCCACGTCACTGCAAAGGACATGAATGCATCCTTTTTATGGCTGCATAGTACTCCGTGGTGTAAATTGCCACATTTTCTTTATCCAGTCTATCATTGATGGGCATTTGATTGGTTCCAAGTCTTTGCTATTGTGAATAGTGCTGCAGTAAACATATGTGTGCATGTGTCTTTATAGCAGAATGGTTTATAATCCTTTGGGTATATACCCAGTAATGGGATGGCTGGGTCAAATGGTATTTCTGGTTCTATATCCTTGAGGAATTGCCACACTGTCTTCCACAATGGTTGAACTAACTTACACTCCCACCAACGATTTTATTTTTTTAACCATTCCAACATCAAGATATTATAATTGTGCTACCTTAATAACAAGAGCTCTCCAGGAGTCAGGAATGTTGATGGATATGAAGGGATGAATTTAGGAATAAATAAGTACTGGAAAAAATCTTTGGTTGGTTTCTGCTGAGGCCATCTACAAAAGGAAAACACCCACCTACCAAAAGAAAGCAAAAGGTAGGGAGACTAAGGAAAATCTAGGCAAGTCCCCAGCCTGCAAGGCTGGAGAAAATGAATCCACCTAAATACTTGCAGAACGCAAAGCACACCCCTAACTTGTAAATATTGTCCTCTCTCCAGTTACACAGACATTGGTCCTTCTCCTCTCTTAGATTTTGGTCCATCAATTCCACTACTTTGACAGCTCTTTGATACCTTTAAGGTGGTGTCTATTATATTGTGTCTGGCTTTTTCCGTTGCTATGCTTCACAAATTGAACTAGAGATACTTTTAGATGTAATGTCCCTGTTTCCTTCCTCCCTGTCCTTTGTAGCTCCTTCTGGGCGAATGTCCATCATTAAGAACCTGCAGAACCTGGACCCCAGCCACAGGATAAGTGACCGGGACTACATGGGCTGGATGGATTTTGGCCGTCGCAGTGCCGAGGAGTATGAGTACCCCTCCTAGAGGACCAGCCTCCATTGGCCCAACGAGAAGCAACCTCCCAACCCAGAGGAGGCAGAATAAGAAAACAATCACACCATATCTCATTGTCTGTGGAGTTTGACATTGTATGTATCTATTTATTAAGTTCTCAATGTGAAAAATGTGTCTGTAAAAATTGTCCAGTGCAACCACACACCTCACCAGAACTATACAAATGGAAGACAAAATGTTTTCCTCATCTGTGACTCCTGGTCTGAAAATGTTGTTATGCGATTAAAGTGATTTCATTCTGCCCTGTCATTCCCTGCGTCTACTGAGGGCAAAGGGCTCTGTTTGATCCTTACAACATGCAAGGAGGGAAGCCTGATAGATGCTATACCAGGACAAATCCTTGTAGTAGATGTCCCCAGAAAGGGCTTGGGAAATGCAGCTCAGGCCTGAAGCTAACTTTGCTACAGGCCAGCTGGACAGTGAAAGGGTCATCTGTGGGCAACTCCAGAGCCCAGCCCTGGCCACCCTGATCCCCGATCTTATTTGCCAATCCTACTCCCACCAGGGTTTCCTTGGGGTTCTCTTGGCCTTTCAACAAGTTACAGGCAGTAACTGGCCATGGTTTTGCGTACATTTGATCACTCCATGGCTCTGTGGCACAGAGGTTATCATCCTTTCTTTACAGATGAGGAAACAGGCTCTGAAGAGTGAAAGTGACAGCCCTTATGCCCCAGCTAAGGAGATTCACAGACTGGAGGTCTTAATGTTCTGAGGCTAGCGGGACCTTCATCACTCTAGCATTTCTCCAACTGAGTGCACAGGAATCACCTGGGGAATCTTGTTAAACTACATGTTCTGATTCAGCACATCTGGGAGGAAGCCTGAACAAGTTCCCAGGTGATGTCAATGCTGCTGTTTGCAGACCGCACTTGGAGCTGCAATGGTGCAGAGAAGAGCCTATAACTGCTTTTCCTTGAGCCCCGCCATGTTTTGGAGTTGGTGGGACTCCAAAGTGCTGGGGAGACTCTGGTGGTTATACAGAGCAGAAGCCAATCTGTCTGTTGGCTCTCTGTAGAAATCAGTGAGGGGAACTAGTCCAAGGCGACACCCAGAGATGATCCAGTACCCACCACCCACAGTGCAACCTTTCCGTGCCTCCTGCTGAGGCCTCCAAGACCCTCCAATCCTTGTCCAGCAGAGGCCCCAGGTGTCCAGTGCAACAGAACCTGGCAGCCCCCAAGAGCAATATGTTGAAAACAAGACTGGCAAATCTAAAACCTTACCCAGACCGGCACCACTCACTACTGGCACTCAGTGCCACCTTCCTTAGTGTTGGGGACAGGACACTGGGAGGGAGCCCCAGGAAGACTTGGTCAGTACAATTCTTTCACTTGAGCTGAAGTTGGGATTCAGTGTAAAACTTACTCCAAATAGGGGACACTATATTAGTCCCTTCCAAGGTACCACCTCACTCAGTCCCTATAATTAGTCTCCAAGACAGCCTCATATCTTAGGTATCCAACCCCCATTCGGTCTAAAATATCCAGATGCCTGTATATTTAGTGCCCCCTCCCCTTGCAAAAATCACTAGTTTTATGGGTGTGTAGGGGTTATGTGCCCGTGTGTGTGTGCGTGTGTGTTTGTGTGTGTGTGTGTGTACTGTTTGTGTATTGGGGATGGAGGATGAATGAAGGACTTGGAATTTAATATAGAATCAACAGTGGGGAATGGATGGTGAAAGTCTGATCTAAATTACTGATTTATGAATCATCAAGGAAGTGGGTGTTAAAATACCATTTTCAAAGGTAAAGTCATGACTCATATAACACCAAATGAACATATGTCAAAGATATCATTTAACTCATCAATTAATAAAGGAACCAGTAAGATGTCACAATCATTTCAAAGCAGAATCTGAAGGATAGTCAGGTATAGACAGCAGGGAATAACAACAGAGAGAAAACTGGTTCATATCCATAGGTCAAGAAAATATACTGTTTGGAATAATCCACAACAGAAGTTACTTGTATCATTAGAGGACAATATTCACTTAAGTTTCTTTATGTTTTGTTTTGTTTTTTGAGACAGGGTCTCAGCTCTGTTGCCCAGGCTAGAGTGCAATAGCACAATCACAGCTCACTGCAGCCTCAACCTCCCAGTCTCAAGCAATCCTCCCACCTCAGCCTCCCGAGTAGCTGACACTACAGGTGTGTGCACCACTCCCAGCTAATTTTTGTACTTTTTAGAGGGATGGGGGTTTTTGTCATGTTGCTCAGGCTGGTCTCAGACTCCTGAGCTCAAGCAATCCACCTGCCTCTGCTTTCCAAAGTGCTGGAATTACAGGCGTGAGTCACCGCACTCATGTTTTGATAGGCAAGAATTGTTTGCATTTGTATCAGTTTTCCAGGGATTATAAGTCACCCAATCAAAGACACAGACCCCAGTAGCATCAGACAAATGCCCAGCATTCCACTGAAAGGACATTCAGTCACCCCCTCTGCCCACTTCCAAGGCTTTCACAACTTTTTCTAATGCAGAAAAGGGAAAGGAAAGAACATTCCTGGCCTCCTCTTGGGTGCTATAGAAAGAGTCTCACAAGCATCAACGTAGGTAACAGTCCCAGTCCTGCAAGGTAACCATGATTCCACTCCTCCAAGAGGAAACAGGAGCTCGGAGAGGTTAAGTGGCTTGGAGGAGCACATGCTGTCCACAAATGGCAGTGCCAGGATGTAAGCAGCTGGCTCTGGAACTTCTCTATGAAAGGACTTAGAGCCACTGTCTGGCAGAGAAGGGCCTCTGAACCTTGTCTGGAAGCTGCACCTACACAATGAAGGCATGGAGTCAGCATATGTGATCATGTGTGGAGTCTTGGAGGGGGCCTGATGGAGCTCCCTGGGCATGGGAGGCAGACAGCCTAAAGACCTGTTCCCCTAATGCTTTCAGTACCATGCTGGGCTGAGGACAGCACCTTCTGACTGCAGGGGCCCTGCTCTTATCTCTATGCCACCTGTTCTTGCAGGGTCCCTGGACCCAGAACATGTAACTCAGGCCTTCCTAAGTCCTTTCTCAGGGGATCACACCAGGCTTCTGCAACTAAGCTGAGCAACTTTTGCAGAGAAGCCAGCCGCTCCTAAACTCCGCTTTAAAGAGACCTGAACTCACAACCACAAAGTCATGCCTGCTGCCCTGCCCTCCTCCTCCTCCTCCTCCTCCTCCTCCTCTACCCAGCTGTGTGATCCTAGGCAAGATCATGCACAGCCTTTTCCCCCTCCATATCTCCTCCCCTCGCTAACCCTTCTTTTCCTGCTAGCTGTCCTGGAATCCCTTGGGCTTGCAGGAACTCCACCCAGGCCATATCCTTCTACAGCTATTCCTGCTGTTTGTGTCCTCAGCTCTGCCAATTAAGACTGCTCAGAAGCTTCCTCTTTGTTGACCCACTGGAATTTAAAAGCTGAAGAGAGCAATGGCTATCACTCTAGCTCAACCCATACCCTACCCTACCACAACTCCCATTTTACAAATAATAGACTTGCCCAAGATCACACAATGAATTAGTGATGGAACCTGCAGCTCTCTCTGGAATTAACTCCGTGCCAGCCTGAGACATAAAGAATTGCCTGGTAGTCCCTGCATTTGCTGATACCTCTGGACCTTTGGCTTGGGATATCTGACCTGCCCTCACCTGCAATTCCTAATATCTCCATATGGCCAGCAGCCAGAGGGTGGACAGGATTCACTCTCCCAAGATTTGCTTCACCAAAACCAAGCTGTAAGACATCTGACCCACAAATTAGGGAATCTACTTAATTTGTCAGCAACCTACTGAACCCAAATGGCAATCTTTGCTCTCAGGCTCAGCCAAACCCAGGTATAAGGAAAGGAAAATGGAAGAAAGACAGTATATGTTCATTCTTTCTTTTAACATATAACCAAAAAAACCTCACCCCCAACTCTTTTTGTTGACTCTGCTTTGAAGAGCCAAAGGAAAGAATCCTGATCACTTTGCTAGATTTCCAGGACTGTGAATATTTTTTTCCAGCATCTTCAAATTATGGCTAGTCCTGAAGATAAATAAAGCAGAAGTCAAGCAGAAAGAGAGAAAATCGTTGCCTCACTAATTTCCCCTGGGTTCTAGGTTCTGAAAACATCTCTCACCAGATATTAAAATGATCTGTTTGTGTCTGTCTCCTGCTCTGATCTATATCTTCCCACAGAACCAGGATCAGGGGATCCCAGATGAGACAGCACCTGCCCTGGACTCCCCACCATCCCCAAGGCCCACACTGGACAGACCTCCCCCAGACAGCCTCATCATCACCCCCACCTCTCTGACTTCATCTCATCACCGCCCTCTTCACTCATTTCACTCCAGCCTCACTGCATTCTTTGCTATTCCTTGAAAACACTAAACTCACTCCTGACTCACAGCCTTTGCACCACTGTTCCCTCTGCCTGGCTCACTCTCCCTTCCAAAAGCATGGCTGGACCTCTCAGCTCATTCAACCCCAAAATTACCTGTTCAAAGAGGCTGTCCTGACCATCCTCTCTAAAAAGGTTCCTCTGAACTGGGCACAATGGTCCAGGCCTATAGTCCCAGCTATTCGGGAGACTGAGGTGGGAGAATCACTTGAGCCGAGAAGTTGAAGTCCAGCCTGAGCAACATAACAAGACATTATTTCTTAAAAAAAAAAAATTATTTTAAGAAAAAAAAGTCCTCCATTACCCTCTCTCCCCTTCCCCGCTTTACTTTTCTTCACACGTTTATCATCTCTTGGAATTACATTGTATATGTATTTATTCATTGATTCTGTCTCACCAATGAATACAGAATACCAAAGTTCTGTCAACTCTATTAGGTCAGGGATTTTTGTCTGCTGTGTTTATTGCTGTATTCCTGACTCCTAATACAGGGTTGGCACATAGCAGATACTCAGCAACTATTCACTTAATTAATTAGTTCATTAATTAATCAATTAGGGAAAAATCTGTCAGGATCCCTGCTACTCAGGTCACAGATGGGTTTTAGAAGCAGTTTCATCAGACCATTTGTTTTAAAAATCAGAGAAGTAAAGCTGCCTCACTGACATGGCCAAGTCCCCCCAAGATAGGCATAAATTGGAAAACAGAGCACTCACACAAAAAGGTGGCTGGCAGTGTGCACAGCATCCGTGGAGAGTGGTGGTATGCGCTAAAGCACACCCACACCAAACACACGCGCACACTCACACGCATGCACATCCAGCCCTATTTCTTTTGCTGCAGTTAAAATCCAGAATGGCAGCCGGCACGGTGGCTCGTGCCT